TTGTGTTGATGATCACGCTGGTGCATGAGGTCTTTTATTTCTGGCGTTAGCCATGGCACGGATCTTCCGCAGACACGGCGCGTGACAACGGGCACGTGTTCATCGGCCACTGTGAGAAATAGGTCTTTGAATGACTGCCACGCATCATTAGGAGTTTGGTCAAGTTCTAAGATATCCCATGGGATGCTGTTTAGATCCTCGCAAAACAAAGCGGGGTCGTAATGTTTCTTTTCTTTTCTTGTCACTCTCAAGTTTCATGGAATATTTAAATTACGAACATTACTCTAAGCTAGCATTTGCAATCGCGTGCTCGTTTCGTGTGCTCATTTATTGTAAACAAACTCTGTGCGACTAATTCAAGTATTTCCCCTGATGAATAAAGTAGTCTTATGGACCTTGCCTTCAGAGTACTTTTCCACCAATTCCAAACAATAAAATTTCAACCGGATAAAGACTGAGCTATCTGTCGCGACTGGAGCTAATCAACAAGTGCAATCAAAATGTGGCTGTTCCCACGGTTATCATCCCAAAGCCAAGTTGTGTTAATAAACAAGGACAATTCCCTTAGATTTCAATAAATTAATGCTACCATCGAAGCGTTTAAATTTGCCAAAATCTAACACTTAGAGCACATAGTAGCGAAGCATATGGAGACTGAGTGGAAAGAAGTCAAAGAAAGATCCATCTGAAAGACGAGCTCACATGGCCTGCTCACACTCACATGTTCATCGCATGTCTTATCACATGTCTTAGCATTATACGGTACCAGTTTACTGGCCGTGACATGCCCGTGCAAAAATCAAGCGGGGTGGCCATTTTGGTTTCCTTACAGGAATGTGTTTTTTTCGGCCTATAACAGTGCACAGGGAAACCAACTCTGGAAAGCCACGGGTCAAAATTAGGTTTGCGTTCCACTTCGTCGAACGCAAAAACAATAGCCTGCATTTGGCACGAAAATTTGCTCAGATATTTGTCTGCAGACATTATCTGTTTGGAGAAGTGAACTGTGAGCTTCGAGTAACAGTTAATCTCCAAGGACAAATATTCAAGCTTTTATATGGCAAAGTAGTCTTGAGGTAAATTGGAGCACTCTGATTGGTTCTTTCTTGGTTGGGATTTTGGCATACGAACCATTTATAGCCATGTATTTTTTTAATTTTGAATGTCAGCAAATTCAAAATAAGTGCCACATAGTAAAGTGCTTACTAACCTAGCTTTCTTGAGTCGCACTGGAAAAAAATTGGCCCTCAGTCCTTTTTGCACAGATGTCGCTGCGCTTGGTTTGTACTGCCACAACATTGACCCAATATTCCTCAGTGGAGCCCTCATGCTCGGTTAGTTAGAGGTTAATTTTTACAAGTCAAATGGAGGCTATTGTGTTTATAATCCTTCAAATATTTTTCATAACACATGGGATCTTTGAGAATTGGGGAGTATCACTTGGACATTCCCAGTTTTAGCTGGGGCATATTCAGTCATGTAATGCAGTGAGACCAATCGCGTACAGGCGAAAAGACATATTCAGTTTTGGGTGGCAGTAACTGCAGCGAAGTGGAGGACTGATGTTATAATGCATAGTATTTTTTTAACTAGAGAAAAGAAATGTCATGCTTGTTGCATGCTGTTGTGCTTTAACGCAGCCATGTTTTCTATCTTAGTTCTTCTTCAGTGTTTGGGCTTGAAACTAAAAAAGTGTATACCCCTTTTAATTTCAGCTTGGTACTCTTTGGAGCCTTCTCACAGCTGGATGTAACCTAGCAACCAGTATATCACCTGTAGTAACAACATTTCTGACTACAAACTATGGCTGGTCGGCAGGATTTATCACTCCTGGCTTCAGCACGGCTGTTATGTCTGTCTTAGTTTATTGTGTTATTTGCGACTCTCCGTCAGAGATAGGACTGGATGAATTTAACCAAAGAACTGCAAAATCATCAAGAACTGAACACAAAACAGCAATGACTAAGAGAGAGCAGATAGCAGCATTGTTACTGAGCCCATTTTTGTGGATTTTAAGTGTTGGATATCTTTTGACGTTATTTGTAAAAACAGGAGTTGGCGAGTGGACACAACTATTCTTGATGCAGACAGTAGGAAAATCACAATATGACAGTGAGTGTACTAATAAACGTGGGCGGTTTTTTAAGCTAAATCAGTATATAATTTCTCCCTTTCATTAAATCAAAATACTCTAAAATTCCAATAATTCCCTCGCAGAAAATACTCCTCGTCAAATCTCGGATGTAAACTCCTTCGTAAATATAAGATTTCAATGTCTGTAAAAAAAGATACAACGTTTTCGAATCATGAGCCTACATATATAATTGTTACAAACATCTTTACACCCTGTACATTTGTAACCTTTATTTCAGCTTGACAGCTACATGTTCGAGGAAAAGAAAATAACGATAAAGTACAGTTAAGTTCAAATCCTGATACTAAGTGAATTCATGCCTTAACTTATACAGTTGTAAAGCTGTCGTTGTAAAGGAAAATGGTTTGCAGTCTTGAAAGGGAGGCTTTTGAGTGTTCACACATAGATATGTCAGGCTGTCTAGAATGAAAACTCCTGTTTGTCATGAAGAGGCTGTGGCTATGGAGAGTTGTCAGTTAGTGGAGAGCTAGACTGTAGACCCAGTACATTAATTATTGTCTATCTATTGATTATTCTACAAGCCATTTGTTTTGTGGCCTTGCAACTTACAGATTGTTTTTCATTCCTTAGGTAGCATTGCAATGAGCTTTTTAGAAATTGGTGGACTTTTTGGCAGTATAACTTCTGGTTATGTTACAGACAAGTTGGTGCAAAAGGTAGGGAGTGCATCATTTACTTTAGGGACCAACCATTTAATTGCTTTAGGAGAAAAGAGACTGGGTCTAGTGGGCCTTTTTGAGGAGTTGGGAGGATATGGTCTTGCCAACCAAGTGAGCCAGCCAAGCATACTGGAGAATAAGGGAGGCTTTAATATGTCACTCATGCTCAAAATAGCGCATTTCCGTATTCCTACATGTTACCTTCTATTTAAAGAAGTGACCATAAAATTTTATGAATTTGCTTATTGATTCTTGATTGTCCTATGTATTGTTAACTTTGTCCATCTGATAAACAGAAGTTGTAGTAATCATATTCATGGAAAGTTTGGTGAGCAGAGGTGGCACAGTAGTAAGAGTGCTTGTCCCCGACCAATATGGCCTGGGTTCAGATCCCACAACTGGTGTCATAAAAGAATTATTATCTGGGTTGAGATTGTTGTTGATTCCCATTGTGGCACCACAGTTTGTTCAACAACAACAACAACAATGCTTTATTTACTCTTGACACTTATTACACATTTGCAGAGAAAATTGCAATAACTTAGGGAAAAGATATGTGTTTAAAGTCGAGCCAGGGGCATAAATAATCAACCTTGCGGTTTTCAAGTTATTCCCCTGCCTTTTACATGCAAAACAAAGTAAGACCAAGGGAATGAATGAGATGAGTAAATAAAGTGCAACACATGGAGACAGACCAAACCATATGAGCAGTGGATATTCAAACGAATTGAATGCTCAAAATGTTAGTTACTTCGTGCTATGTTTGAGTTGTTCAGGGAAGAGATATAGCTTAATTCTCCAATACTCAAGTTTCCAAGGGAAACCAATATTTCTAAATATTCTAATTTGATTTGGAAGAAATGGTCAAATAGCCACTCCATGTACATATCTGTTGGACTCAAGCTGCTAATTCCCAGGTATTTGTTTGACTTACCCGCGTAAAGTAGGGGTTTACCTCGCACAATTTTTACACCATGCTCTTGTCTTTCTTAAGGACCAAACAATCAGAATACAATATCAAAACAGATTACTAACATGGCTTGTCATTTGTTTTTTGTAGTATGGAACATCAACGGTGTCAAGTCCCAGAATTCCTCCCATGATTTTGTTTGCATTTATTCAGCTAGCATGTGTGTATCTCTTACATACAGCTGTGACGTCAACTACATCTTTGGTATGGAAAGTTTTCTTTTAGTCTTTGTGTGTGTTTTGAATAAATTTATGAAAAGTGAAGTAAAATAAGGAAATTATTTCACTTTCATTTTTTGTCATTGCAGTGGAACCCTGTTAATATTGTCACCAACTGGCCACAAAGATCTGGCTGTATTGGTGCATTCCACTCTATTCTAGTACAGTTGTGATATTAAATTGGCCCAGCCTTTACTAGGGGAACAAAATTGTTAAATTGCATTTGATAGAATGGCTGAATTACACTAGAAACACTTTCAATTTAGACTACAATTTCTTGCAAACCAGGGCCTTGTAGTCCTTAGATGTATTCTGTTCCTTTGCAGTGGTTTATCTCAGCATTGATATTTGGCATAGGGTTTTCACTCTACACAGCCATTAACTTGTATGGAGTGTTAGCCATGGAAAATGGTCCCCCAGGACTGTCTGGAACATCCCATGCTATCGTTGCCCTAGCAGCAAACGGTAAGACTTTATTGAAGGTACCTTATTCTTGTGCATGGGTTAGTGAAATTTAAATATTAGGGCTGGGGGCTGGGAAAGATTGTATCTGCTCAGTGTTCTGATTGCACCACTTTTTCAAAGGCAAGGCAGGTTATATTGCACTAATTTCACTGAAAAAAAGTAAAAGTAATCAAACTACTTTTGAAACAATCCTTTGTAGAAGATTATTGCTTGGAGGAAAGGGATGGAGGGGAGGCAAGAGTTAGAGGAATGAAATTAAGGCTCCCCAAAGATGACTTGAACAGGTTGTGACCAGTAATACACTGTAAATTGTGACCCTCCATACAAAAACACTTCTCGTGAAACAGGGCAATTTGGGTGAAACCTAGCCTGTGAACAGGCTCCAGCTAGAAGGGTCTGACCACGGCTGAAAGGACCAACAAGGAACTAGCTTAGAATGAAATGGCTGGGAGGGGGGATGGTGTCGCCCCATCCTTGACCAGAGAGCCTGTTCACTTGCTAGGTGAAACTGGGTTTCAAAAGGCTTTCGCACTCCTAAAACTGGGTTTTCACCTACCATCCATTTGTCTGGCTTTTCCTGTCCGGGCTGGCTGATCAACCACGGAGGTATTTCTGTAGCTTTGCCAAATTTTCTTCACAAATGTCTTCCCCGCATGCAGACATCTAGCTGTAACGCTCACGCTAAACCCCTGCACGAGTAAAAATGCCACTTGCGAAAGTAAACTTGAAGAATAACAAGCAACCACGTTGAATGAACTGGCTACACAGTGGCAGCCATAGTTTTGAAAACGAGAGCGGCGTTGATATATAAGGAAGGCATGATTGATGGAAGCGAATTACCAAATGTTCGTAAGAGTTTTGATTCGGGGGTCGCGTTTCAATGAAATTGGTGGTAAGTGCATTGTAAAAAAATTAATATGTTGGTTGTGTTGAAGGTTTCCACAGTCAGCATGCTTGTATTTAGAAACCTGTCTTAAAATCCCTTTTCTTTTATGGTGGAAATGGCATCTATCCACCTTACAGGATTTGTATACTTTTAATAATGCCTTCTTTATTGATTCTTCCCATGAATCCAGTTGGTGCAACCCTTGCAGGAATCCCCCTGACGACAATCAGCAAGTCTTATGACTGGGGAGGTGTGTTTGTTGTCCTTGAACTGGCTTCTTTGTTCTGCGGCTGTTTGTTGATTGGAGCACAAAATGTCAGTAGGCACATGATTGATCCATCAAAGTTTGAATGAAGATTCTACACGAACAAAGAAACATGGCCTGAACATCCCACGTAATAATTACATTCTGAAACACTTTTCCAAGGTTTATCAAGTCTTTAGTCTAGAAATGAACAAGTTAAACATTAAATTAATTATTTAAATTAATTTAATTATTTTAACATTAAATTAATTTATTTAATGTTTAACTTGTTCATTTCTAGAGTAAAGACTTGATAAACCTTGGAAAAGTGTTTCAGAACGTAATTATTCTTCACCATGTCGCCAGTTCCAACTGAAATATTCAAGACACAGTAATGAACATTTCATTTTCCTTGTTTCAAGATTTTTACATATTTGACAGGCATGTAAGTCGGTCTCCCTTATTGTGGAGGGCTGGTTGACTTAACGATGTTTAATTTCTTAAAGCCATTATATTTGTTAGCCTATTTTTAAAATCAGATTTTAAAATCCATAAAATAAACATTTGAAAATAAGAAGTTCAAAAAAAATAATAATAGAGTAAAGAATTTTCATAAACGTATTTATAATTGTTTATTTATTATAAGTAGTCAGCCTCTTATTAATTCATGAAATTATCATGGCAATTCTAGTTGAATTTTAGTTGGGAATATTCATTATGCCCTGCTCAACTGGTGATAACATCTTGCTTCAACTTGATTCAACATTGTTGGTTGAAAATTGTAGAACATACAATCATGTACTTAATTGCCCTGTTAGAACATGACTGTTGGATGAAAGTTGATTAAATTAAACTTTGTCCTACATGTTTCAACATTTGAAAACGTGTGTTTGGCTTTTTGCCTCAATTTTGTGTTTTGTGAAAATTATTGTCTTCAAATCTTCTTCAAATTGAAGATAATACTGTGTTACAAAAGTGAAGCCTTGGAGCCAACTGGCTCATAGCTGCTAGAGCTTATCCTGGTTTCTGTAGCATGAAGCAGCTAGGAGTATTTTTACTCCCCAGGGTTGGGATGCTAGTCCATCACAGGTCACTCCCCCACAATTTGTTAGGTTTCTCCAACAGTCAGCCGGTACCCATTTATACTCCTGGGTGGAGAGAGGCACGGTAAGAGTTAAGTGTCTTACCCAAGAACACAACAGTGTCCCCAGCCAGGGCTTGAACCCGAACCGCTCAATCCAGGGACGAGTGTGCTAACCATGAGGCCACCGCACCTCCACACACTGGTACAAGGGATTGAATTATTTATGCATGTGATGAGAGACATCTTTTTCAAGTTAAAAAAGAAACAGCACTGCCTTGTCACCGGGTATTAAGCTAAAAAAAAAAA